TTTAGCAGGTAGATTTATATGGTGCCTTTTTTTTTAGTATATACTAGTTAATTATGTATTTAATATTGCATGATTGGATGAGAGTCACGAGGCATCTAAATTAATTGACTTAATTATATTAGTTTAGTAAAGTTTTTATAGATGAATTAGTAATTGATGGCTTAGACATAATTTTTATTTTTTAGAATTTCAAAATTTCTAATATTATAAATTTATCTGATTTTTTTACTTCGATTTTTTAGCCTAATTTGATATATTAGGGCCACTTTGGATTTCAAATAAAAAAATATTCACAGCGAAAAAAAATGCAAGTTTTTCTACCTTCATTGGAAAACACTAGGTAAGCTGCTTGGATGTCTTATTTCATTGATTTGTCAAAAACAAACCCCATTAGTCAGCTTGGGTACTAGACTAGTACCGACAAAGAGGGGCTGCCCTGTTTGCAAGTCTTCGGTAGTCGGTTTGGGTTCTGATTAGAGAGAAAGGGTGAGGGCAAAAGACAGACAAGTATCCGGAGAGCTCTTCTCATGGTTTTCTTCATCCCAGGCCTCCCTCAAGCGTTCTCGGTGGTGACTCTCTCTTTCTCTCTCTAAACTCTCTCTTTCTCTCTCTAAATGGGGGCCATTGGTTTCTAATTCCCTATGAAGCTCTATGTGTATGAGCTGTTGTTGTCTTTCATCTTTCATTTTGTGTCTGTGTTGTGTGTTTTTTGGTGGTTTTTTTAAGGGGCTAATGCCTCTGTCCTTGGTTGTTTTTTGAAGGGAATTTGGGGCCATTTTTCACTTTGAACTGCTCTTCTACAATTTGTGTATAAAACCACTAAGTCTGCAACTTTGTAATAGATAATGGTGTATATTTTTTTGGCCTCCAAATATAGGGAAATACTTATGAATATATTACACCACCTCCTGTTTTGGGATCAAAGGTACTAGGCTTCTTCAAGCCTCATTCATCACACTAGTTGGAAATGGCAGTTTTGAGGGCAAGATTAGGGATTAGGGCTGAATCTTCTAATTGGGTGGAGGTCATGGTCATGGCTCACATTTCCGCCTTATTGAATTGCGGCCCTTTTCCTTGCATGGTTAGTAGCCCTCCATGCCTACATTCCTTCTTAATATTAGAAAGATGGAGGCAAAAAACCAGAGCTATCTCTCCATATAAATGGAGGGAAACAAAACAGAAGAGCTTCCCTAGAGAAACATAGAGAGATTGAGGAATACAGATTCCCTAAAGAAAAAGCCCTAAGCTTCCCTAGAAAGGAAGACATTGAGAAAACCAGAAAAATGGTGTGCCTGTTTTTGTTCTACAACTGCCTTTGATGCCTTGCGAGAGGGGGCTTGATCTTGGGAGAGAGAGGCGTTCTTGACAGTAGCAGA